TGGATCTGAGACCGTAGACGGTAAAAAGTCCATTGGAGAGAATGTAGCTGATTAAACAGGTGAGATAATAATAAAATGCAAAGATTGGTGACAGTGCTTGGAATCATAAGGCAAAACACACACACACACACACACACACACACACACACACACACACTCCTCGTGCCTATGGTACGACAACTTTTCTCGTGCCTATGGTACGACAACTTTTCTCGTGCCTATGGTACACTGCGCAGGAGCACTTTGCCACACACACACACACACACACACACACACACCACACACACACACACACTCTCTCTCACTCTGTGTAAATATACTAAATGTAAGCCCTCCATAAAGGGAGGGAAAGCCCTGTAAAAATAAATATGTTCCATAAAACGGGGACAGCCCCACAGACCAGGACAGCCTCACCCAGTTAGTTAGCAGCTACTACTTGTGCAGTTAATAAAAGGACAGGTGATGGTTGTCACGCGGTTTTACACACAGCACGCTCGTTTGTTTCAATTCGTCAGTTACCACAACACAACTGACCAACGTGTACACAACAAGCTAATACTCCTGCGTGCTGTAGAGCTCGTTCCTGACTCGTGACCAGCGCGCTCTGCTGTCAAGGGCGATCATTGGTTAATGGTCATCATGTGACTGATGCAACCCAGAGCCTGTTATTTAGCAACACTGTGATTAATCGTTAAATGTTACTGTGAGGGGCACAGGCAGGACTCCACACACACACACACACACACACTAAAAAAATGCCTCTAGAAAAGAGCACTTGTGGCTCCCATCAAGCAGGTACTCAAACAGGTGCCTGATATGAACATTAAATGCTCATTACTCACTGCTCTGCTCTGCTACTTTTCTTATCAGCAAGGTCGCATTCTTCTCAGGCAGACGCAGATCTCTGCACAATGAAGCCTTGTTCATCACTGCAGACAAAGAAAGCGACGTTTGCAGCGGTCCCAGCTGCTGTCATCAGTGACTCGGAGTGCTCGCCTCCTTTTTTTCCACCTCAGTTGCTCCTCTGTGTTTCCAAGCCAAGAGCTCGAAAAATCCCTCTTTCACACATGCAGAGAAGAGACGCTGCAAGATAAGAGCAGCCTTGACCTGACGTGTTAACCACGGCCACACAAAACAGTGTCTGTGAAATATCGTACATTTAACTCCATAAATTATTATTTGTACATAGAAACACAACAGGAAACGTGTTCATTCAAAATGAATAATTCTTTACATGCAAAACTAGAAAAGTGTATTTTAGTTTAAAGGCTCAGATTCAGGCAGAAAACAGAAAGTTGTGCATCAGTTTGGAGGCTTGACTGCAAGTACTCACTGATATTGTTCATTATTTATTATTATTAGTTAAACATGTCAGGGTCAGCCTGTTATTATCATTTCTGCCATATATGCACTGTTCAGGACAAACCTGTTTGAAAGAGGCAACCAATCAGAAGAAAGGTGGCTTAAATGCAGAGGATGAAGAAGAGTAAGGATTGTTTTGAAGTTGAAAAATAAATTATATGGAGTAGAAAGAGATCTTTTCCTTAAAGGGGAGAAATTGTTTCACTTTGAGGAAAAGCGGAAGAGTCTCCTGTGATCTCACCCTGGGTCAGCACACCTGAATCACATGATTAGGTCATTACCAGGCCTCTGGAGAACTTCAGGACAGGTTGAGGAGGTCATTTAGCCATTTAGATCAGCTGTGTTGGATCAAGGACACATCTAAAACACATTCCCACTCCTGCTCTGAACTATGATGGCAGGTAACTCAGGGTGGCATAACATTTGCTCAGGGGGCATCCGGATTTGAACCAGAGACCTCTTGATCTGCAGTCAAATGCTCTACCACTGAGCTATACCCCCTCTGCTTGTGCTTTCAGGCAGAATCAGGCCTCTCTGTCTGAACAGTGCAGTAAAAACAGAGCTCAGATCAGCCGGCTGGAGGCGGAGCTTCAACAGGAGAGGAGGAGGAGGAGCAGGATGAAGAACATCATTCAGGAAGCAGCTGTTGCTCTCAGACAAGCACTGATGGTAAGATGACAGCGCTGACTCTGGAACGTGTGCAGATGACAGGTGTCGTACTTTCTGACCGACTGCTCGATTTTAGAAAAGTGAGCTTCAGTGAGACCGACATCATTTCAAAGTAAAAGTCTGAAACCTTCAGCTAACACAGAACACACGAGGTATTCGCCTCATCAACGTTTTATGTTTTAGAATACAGAAATGGAAAAAAAGATTTGTGACAAGGTGGAATTTATCTGTAAAAGACAAAGTTGTTGCAAGCAAACTGAATTCATTTTATTTCTCTGTCGATGACGATGGTTCCATGCTCCAGTGAAGAAGGTGAGGTCTTTATCTCAGCCAATCAGACTGTTTCAGTCTTGTTTTCACCTGCAGCAGGACTCAGAGGTGGACCAGTGGAAGCAGCTGATGCAGAGGATGCTGGTGCTTTTAAGCAGAGACGGATTTGCCAGCTCCGCTGCTGACGGCGGCAAAGTGAACGAGCTGCAGACGGCTGACTCTGCAGCAGCCCGGTAATAAAATCAGTGCTCGCTAAGATGGTCTGCAAATACCTGACAGGTTGATGACTGACAGAAATCCTGCATCTTTATCGTCTGTGTAGAACAAGAAGTCTGGATCCAGATTGGAGTTTCCAGTTCCAGCTGGCCCGCTACAGGCTGGGAGATCTGGGTTTTGTGCCTCGCCCCGCGCTGAAACACAAAAACGTGCTCCCCAGGATGGAAGCTGGCTCCAGCAGGTTTGTGAGGAGCTCAGAGCTCAGCTTCAGGGTCTGCAGGGGGATGTCTGATCACAGCTACAGCTGCAGTTATTATATGATATAGCTGTTTACAACTAACATTTAAACTCTCCATTCCTTCATCAGTTTAGATATCAGGTAGACAACATCCTCCTATTTAAGTAGTTCAGTTCATAGACTGTATGTGAAAGAGGGACAGAGCCTCAGTGTTTGTGTTGTAGCCTTCGCTGTGTTAAAGCAATGAGAGGTTGTTATGCTGACTTATCTTCTCCCCACAGCAAACTGCATCCATAAACTGTATAACAAACAGAAACACGTAATCTGAGTATCACACTGATAAATATTAAAGAAAAGTAGATTGTTCCAAATGGCACAACCATGGAGGCGTAGCAGGGCGACTGGTGTCAGCATCCAGCTGTCAGTGAAGCCTCAGCAGCATCAAAATAAACCAGTTATTAAAAACATGTTTTAAATGCCGTAAAGTTGAGACTGACTCAGTGATGGAGAGAGGTGGCCACTGAAGCAGTTTGACATTGCTGCTCTGGAGGTTTCCCTTTGTTAGCTTTAAGTGTTTTATGTCACCTGACTTTCTTCTTCTTCTTCTGTTTTTTTCATATCCAGGAAACCATCGAGTCTGAAGGCGGACAGCTCTGTGAAGCTCACCGATTCAGCTGTGACCTCCAAACAGAACAAACTCAAGTGACAGTAACAAAACTCATCTCCTAAAAACTGTCGATTATGTTGCAGTTCAGTCTGACATCGACTGAGACTCCTGTGAGCTCAGCCTGTTACAGTAAAGGTGACGCCTCTGTAACAAACTCTAATAATGTTCCTGCTGTGATGAAAACAGCTTGTCTGTTATTGTGCAGTGAAACAGGAAACATGTTATAAATGTTGTTTATCACAGTCTTCATGATTCTGCTTGGCTGTTGTTACAGAATGCTGAAAATGCCTTTACTGAGTGAAGATCAGCACTTTGGGTTCTGGGAAGCTGCAGCACACACTCCTCAGCATTTCATAGATTTGCATATTGAGACAATAGATGAAAGTACCAGAACCAGAGACCTCTTGATCTGCAGTCAAATATATAAATAAAAAAAAAAAAAAAAAAAAAAAAAAAAAAAAAAAATATATATATATATATATATATATAATATATATATATATATATATATATATATATATATATATATATATTCCTATTTAAGATTTTCTTTATTTAATCACTAGTGTGTACATATATTTATATATACATATATATATATATTAGTCAGTTAACTGAAAATCTCTTTTTTTTTCTTTTACTACATCTTATTAATATTTTGCTCTTTACTATTTTTCTATTTATTTTTTATTTTATTTTTTTCTACTGTACCGTTCTGCTGCTGACTGTCTTCTGCTCGTCAAACACATTTCATTGCGATGTTGGACCTGTGCTGGACCCGTCCTCGCTGTGCTCCGCCTCTCGCGCAGCGGGACAGACTGAAGTGTTTCAGTTGTTTTTACGTTAAATTTCAACTCTGAGCAGAACAAATCATCTGATTAGAAACACGTTTAAATGTAAAGCATTAAGAAGTTTCTGCATGAAGCGGCTGTGCTGACATCGATGGATCAACGCTGATCCGGTGACTCTAACACGTTAAAAGGATTATTTTGATCGATCCGGATCGATGGGTGAGTATCGGCTGGTCACACTGTCAGCTGGTTTTTATCACAGAAACTGAGCAGGACGCAGTTTTCTGATGTTTCTTTTAATAAACTGACAGAGATGTAGAAACTTTCAGTTTTCAGGTAAAATCAGATTAACTCCAGCTGCTGAAGCGGAAACAGACGGAAGTGAACAGACTGACCGCACAAAGCTTTTTATTATCACTGATTTCAGAGCGATCCCAGTCTGACTCTGATGGTACACAGTTAGATAACGTTAGTGTTTGTTTGTTTGTTCGTGTTAACCGTCACATTCGTAATCATTGCTCATCCGCCATGTTGGATTTGGGCGGCCTTCAGCAGAGAGCTACACAGGTGTGTTTAAGCAGGAAGCTCCATGTTTAACGCTTCACAAGTGCTCGATGTCCTCGTGGATAAAACTACTTCCTTTTGTCCTTGTTCTAATCACTCATTTTATCTTTTTACGTTTTTCTCTGTTGTGGTTGAACTGAAACTGTTTTAAATGTGATGAGATTTGATCTTAATTATCCCGTTTGCTCTTTGAGTTTCAATCTTCATTTATTTATTTATTTATTGCTCTTTCACTGACAGCATTTCTGTGAGTGTTTTTGTTTTAAACCTGGGCAGGTTTGACATTTCCGGGATGTTGTTGCTGATCGTCTCTGATCTGATATCTTTGAGGCTTTTTGTTGCCATGTTTCAATATTCCAGTTCATGTTTTATCATTTTCAATTTTATTTTTATACCATTAAATCACAACAACAGTTAATGTGCTTTATATTGTAAAGTAAAGAGTTTATCATCAGCACTCATCACACTCTTATATTATTAGTTACATTTAACAGATCATAAGTTTCAGTGCAACAGACGCTTGGATAAAAACATTCTCTTCCTGTATATTTGCTGCAACATTATATGTTGGAAACTGGTTTTTCCCACTTTCTCCTTCACTGTCAACAAAGAAATTTCATCACTGTGGGAATTTGACACAGTTTAGGTTTTTGTGTAACTGTTTTTCTTTTATATTCACAGAGGTGCCTCAGCAGCGAACAAGCAGCTATGGTCATATTCCCCCCAACAGTAAGTTAATCGTGACTCAAATATAAACTGTTTGGCCAAAAAAGTCACACTGTAATATTTCTTTGGACTAACTTTGATATGGTACATATTCATTGTGATATTATTTCTATTTATATAACCTTATGCAGCATCACAGTATTATTTTCATCCACAGTTTAATAATAATAATAATGTATACTTTATTGATCCCCGTGGGAAAATTACTTTTTTTTTCTCTGTATTTGATCCATTCACTCAGTGAAGCAGTGGGCAGCCACTAAGCAGGCACCCAGGGAGCTGTGTGTAGGGACAGTACCTTGCTCAAGGGTGCCTCAGTGGATTTGAACCCCAGCCTTCCGATCACAGGGCGACCCCTCTACCTACTGAGCTATCCCTGCCCCAGTTGTGCATATCGCTGATGGGAAAGTCTAACAGCACCTCCCAAAGATTCTGTGTGGTTAATGTCTAGACTCTGGGGCCAATCCATGTGTGAAAATGTTTCATGATCCCTGATTTCACAATCTGAGTCAGAAAATATCCACTGATGGAAAAAAAACATGACAAACCAGTATATTCAGTCAGCTGTCATCTTTGTTTTGGATGACATAACACGACAGAATCTCAGGCACTGGTTTGGCTTTGAGTGGGTGACCATGTACCAAACGGCTGAGCGCAGCCGGCCTGGGTTCTTGTCCAACCCGTGGCCCTTTGCCGCATGTCTGCCCCTCTGTCTCTGTCCTTTCTTCATTGCATCTATCAAATAAAGCTGAAAAAGGCAAAAAAAAAAAAACTGTTTTAAAAAAAAAAAAACAACACTACAGAACCTGGACCTGACCAACTGGAGCAACTCCAGGTCACAACCTGATAACTAGACATGATGTATGCATCTCTTTTCCAGTTTTTCTGCTCCCAATCAAACTGAAACATTTTCTGCAGATTAATTTCACTGATCAGTGTTTTTCTTAGTTACACAGATGTTTAGTGCCAATTCCATGAGTTTCTTTCTATTGTGTGTTTGAATGTTAACTTATAAATTATTTTTTAATTTCCTCAAAGCACTGTTGATTTATATGGGTCTTAATGTTTCCATCTTTTATGTGAAGCACATGGAGTTTGCATGTAATGAATTATACTGTATACACATAGTTGGCATGACATTTTGCAGTGGAACCTGTTGGTTGAATCCAGGTGTGAGCTTGTTGTGGTCGGGCAGTGTCTGTTTCATTTGGAAATGACAAAACTGAAAAATGTTGTTGAACCTAAATTAAATCACATTTTTCATTCAAAACACAAATAATATTGCAGGGTTTCTTTCTCGAACTATCAAAACCGTTTTTTGGAAATAGCATGATGTATTTGTTGATGAATGACTGTTTTTTAACATTTGCAAATTAATGTATATTTTATGGGTATTAATGGTTTTCTGGAGAAGATTCCTCAAAATATTTATCATATGTTTCCTCTCTGATGATCAGCAAACATGATTTTAACACACTAAACATCTTAGAGTGACCCTGGCTCTGTTTTTGTTGACTCCCTGTTGTCGTTGTGTTTTGATGCCAGTGTCTGAGCTGAGGGTTGTCCTGCTGGGGAACAGCTGGTCTCAGAGGAGAGACGTGGGGAACTTCATACTGGGAGGGGCCGTGTTCAGCACTGAGGAACCAGACTGCTGTGTGAGGGTCAGCGGGCGGTGCAGGTGGAAAGAAATCGTTCTGATCAACACTCCAGATCTGCTGCATCCAAACATCTCTGAGGACAAATTGACAGAGTTGAGAGAAACCTGTGTGAGGCTCTCTGATCCTGGACCTCATGTGTTCCTGCTGGTTCTACAGCCTGATGATTTCACTGAGGAGCAAAATCAGAAGCTACAAACAGTCCTGCGAGACTTTGGTGATCAGTCATTTCAACACTCGCTGGTCCTGATATCAACACCTGCAAAGGAACAATTAGCTTACACAGAAAATTACAAGCAGCATCCAGCACTGAAGGACCTGGTCACCATGTGCAGATACAGATATTTAAAACAGAAAGATCTTGAACTTCAGGAACTGTTGACACGCTTCAGTCAGATTGTGAGAGAGAACAAGGAAAAGCATGTGAGCTGTGATTTATCTGAAACTGGAGCAGATGGTTCTCATCAAACCCTGAAACATCAGCTGTCAGTGCCTGCAAACATGGATCCTGCTCGAGCTGCTGGTGAGTTCAGGAAAACATTTTATTACTTTTAAATGTTTGTTGGGTCTCTCTGTACTCTGAGCTCTTCTGCTGGCAGGAGGACAAAATATAAATAAGTTCAGTAAGTCCCATATTTAAAAACACTATAGAAATAAAAATAAATAAATTAATAACAACTAGGGACACAATGCCATGAAATCAGTACTTTTTAACGTGAAACTTTTAGTCACAGAAATGAAGAAAATGCCTCAACGTTCATGGTGGATTGAGCAAATGTGAGAAATTGTACCACACAGACAAATATCAGCATATTTTCCCATCCAATGGAACAAAATACTGGAGTTTCCAGATATTAGTCTAATAATTCAAACAGATTATGTTGTTTTTCTTGGGGAGGGGCGCTATGGTGGTGGACTGGTGGGCACAGCTGACTGGGTGAGGGACAAACTGAAAATGTCTGTAAACACCTGAGCGAGCTCTGAAGAGCAGCCCCTAAAAGCACGGCCAGGGATGTTGTCAGGGCCAGCTGCTCTCGGGGTTAGTCCTCAGAACCTTCCACACCTCAGTTGAAGCCACAGTGAGTGAAGAGCTCCGTGCTGCCTCTGCTGGTAGAATCCCTCTGAGTTGGTTGGTGTTGAGGTGTAGAACTTATTCAGCTCATCTGGTAGCGTGTTGGAGCTGACTGTGACCCTGCTGCTCCTCTGCTGGAAATCAGTAATTTGTTGAAGGCCCTGCGTCGGAAATCTGAGCTGTTGTAGTGTCCTTCCAGCTTCGGTCTGTATTGCCTCTTGGCTTCCCTGATGGATCTACGCAGGTCTTATTTGGCCTTTTTGTCCCCCACAGCATCACCAGAGGCAAATGCAGTGGAGCGTGCATGTAGCATGGAAGGTACCTCAGAGTTCAACCATGGTTTCTGATTTGGATATGTTTGTAGTACTCGGTGGGGACAATATCAGTGCATGTGCTGATGTAGCTGGTAACCACTGATGCATATTCCTCTAAATCCACAGAACTCTCCTCTCTTACGCCAGCAGTCTTAAACACACCCCAGTTTGTAACATCAAAGCAGTCCTGAAGCACCAAATCAGATCTCTTCGCTCCAAACGTTAGTAATTTTAGCGTGTGAATGTGTGTGTGAATGTGTGTGTGAATGTGTGTGTGAATGGGTGGATGACTGAATGTAGTGACTAAGTAAAGCGCTATACAAATACAGGCCATTTACCATTTTGTTCGGGGCTCGTTTGAGGAGCTGCCTGTATGTTGGACAGAGGAACACAGAAATGTGGTCGGACTGTCCAGAGTGCGGGCGAGGCACTGCCTTGTTTGCGCCCCTTACATTGCTAGAGACGTGATATTCCCACATATTGATGGAACCTCATGAGCACAGTCCTGAGGTTGCAGTGATTAAAATCCCCGGCAACAACAAACACGGCATCTGTGTGAGCGGTCTCGTGTTTGCTGATGTGGGTCTGTAACTGTATTGCCTAGTCTAGCGAGCTTCCCGTAGTCCAGGTTTCCGTAAAAATCAGAGCACAGCACTCTCTGATCTCATGTTGAGATGTTATCCTGGTTCACAGCTCATCCATCTTGTTTTCGAGAGAGCAGACGTTGGCTAACAAAAGGCTAGAGGTGGTCGTGTGGCTCTAGCCTTTAGTCTAACATGTAGCCCACCTCTCTTGCCACGCTTCTGTCTTGCATGCGCTGGTCGACGGCCACTCTGAGTAGTTGAGAATAATCTTTAAAAGTTGAAGGTCAGACATGAAGGTCAGATTGATAGGCATCTGAAAACTATTTGATATATGAAGCTAAAATTACACATCAATCATTGGCTCAGCCATGATACCTTCAGATCAGCTCATTTCAATATCAGTCCACGTCATCTGATTTCTCAGCCAATATCTTCAAATATACAGTGGGGCAAAAAAGTATTTAGTCAGCCACCGATTGTGCAAGTTCCCCCACCTAAAATGATGACAGAGGTCAGTAATTTGCACCAGAGGTACACTTCAACTGTGAGAGACAGAATGTGAAAAAAAAATCCATGAATCCACATGGTAGGATTTGTAAAGAATTTATTCGTAAATCAGGGTGGAAAATAAGTATTTGGTCAATAACAAAAATACAACTCAATACTTTGTAACATAACCTTTGTTGGCAATAACAGAGGTCAAACGTTTACTATAGGTCTTTACCAGGTTTGCACACACAGTAGCTGGTATTTTGGCCCATTCCTCCATGCAGATCTTCTCGAAAGCAGTGATGTTTCGGGACTGTCGCCAAGCAACACGGACTTTCAACTCCCTCCACAGATTTTCTATGGGGTTGAGGTCTGGAGACTGGCTAGGCCACTCCAGGACTTTCAAATGCTTCTTACGGAGCCACTCCTTTGTTGCCCGGGCGGTGTGTTTTGGATCATTGTCATGTTGGAAGACCCAGCCTCGTTTCATCTTCAAAGTTCTCACTGATGGAAGGAGGTTTTGGCTCAAAATCTCACGATACATGGCCCCATTCATTCTGTCCTTAACACGGATCAGTCGTCCTGTCCCCTTGGCAGAAAAACAGCCCCATAGCATGATGTTTCCACCCCCATGCTTCACAGTAGGTATGGTGTTCTTGGGATGCAACTCAGTATTCTTCTTCCTCCAAACACGATGAGTTGAGTTTATACCAAAAAGTTCTACTTTGGTTTCATCTGACCACATGACATTCTCCCAATCCTCTGCTGTATCATCCATGTGCTCTCTGGCAAACTTCAGACGGGCCTGGACATGCACTGGCTTCAGCAGCGGAACACGTCTGGCACTGCGGGATTTGATTCCCTGCCGTTGTAGTGTGTTACTGATGGTGACCTTTGTTACTTTGGTCCCAGCTCTCTGCAGGTCATTCACCAGGTCCCCCCGTGTGGTTCTGGGATCTTTGCTCACCGTTCTCATGATCATTTTGACCCCACGGGATGAGATCTTGCGTGGAGCCCCAGATCGTGGGAGATTATCAGTGGTCTTGTATGTCTTCCATTTTCTGATGATTGCTCCCACAGTTGATTTTTTCACACCAAGCTGCTTGCCTATTGTAGATTCACTCTTCCCAGTCTGGTGCAGGTCTACAGTACTTTTCCTGGTGTCCTTCGAAAGCTCTTTGGTCTTGGCCATGGTGGAGTTTGGAGTCTGACTGTTTGAGGCTGTGGACAGGTGTCTTTTATACAGATGATGAGTTCAAACAGGTGCCATTCATACAGGTAACGAGTGGGGGACAGAAAAGCGTCTTACAGAAGACGTTACAGGTCTGTGAGAGCCAGAGATTTTCCATGTTTGAGGTGACCAAATACTTATTTTCCACCCTGATTTACGGATAAATTCTTTACAAATCCTACCATGTGGATTCATGGATTTTTTTTCACATTCTGTCTCTCACAGTTGAAGTGTACCTCTGGTGCAAATTACTGACCTCTGTCATCATTTTAAGTGGGGGAACTTGCACAATTGGTGGCTGACTAAATACTTTTTTGCCCCACTGTATACAAATAAAACCTTGATTCCAAAATAGTTGGAGCGCTGAGTGCAATGTAAATAAAAACTCAATACTAAACACTACAGATTACCACACAAAGATCACTACTCTCCTCAGTGACAACAATACCTACGAAGCCTTAAAGCGAGACCCCACAAGCAGCTACAAAAAGAAAGTTATAGCTTGCCTTCAAGACTTTGAAAAGGACAAAATTATTGACCTCCTCACATATCACCGCCTTTACCCAGGGGATGCCATACCCTGCATCTACGGACTTCCTAAAATCCACAAGGAAGCTGTCCCACTCAGACCCATAGTCAGTAGCATAAACTCAGCCACTTACAACATTGCTAAACACCTTGCTACCATCCCTGCTCCTCTCGTGGGAAACACCCCACACCACATCAAGAACTCCACCGACTTTACCGACAAGGTCCAGAAACTTACCCTGGATCCAGATGAAACCATGGTGTCCTTTGATGTAGTCTCTCTCTTCACTTGCATACCCACCACGGAGGCCGTGGAGACTGTCAGAAAACGACTACAAGAAGACAGCTCCTTGGAGGACCGGACCAACTTCACACCCGATCAGATCTGCACCCTGTTAGACCTCTGCCTCACCACTACATATTTCAAATACAACGAAGGCTTTTACAGACAAAAACATGGCTGTGCCATGGGCTCCCCCGTGTCACCTATTGTAGCCAACCTTTACATGGAGGAAGTGGAAAGGAAGGCTCTTGGCTCTTTCAAAGGAAGAGTACCCAGCCACTGGTACAGATATGTGGACGACACCTGGGTCAAAATCAAGACACGAGAAGTGGAATCCTTCACTGCGCACATTAACGCTGTGGATAAAAACATCAAGTTCACCAGGGAAGACACAAAGGACAACTGTTTGCCTTTCCTGGACTGCGCTGTGCACATTGAAGAGAACAGCAACCTCAACATCGAAGTTTACCGGAAGCCCACACACACGGACCAGTACCTCCTGTTCGACTCCCATCACCCTCTGGAACACAAACTTGGAGTAATTAGGACCCTACACCACCGGGCAGAACGTGTTCCCTCTAAGCCTGAAGGAAAAAAGAAGGAACACACACATGTAAAGGAAGCACTCAAAACGTGCGGCTATCCAAAATGGGCGTTCTTAAAGTCAGCAAAGAGGCACAGAAAAGAAGACCAGACACCAGCGAGGGAGGATAAGAAGGACAGACGCAACAACATTGTCATCCCCTATGTAGCCGGTGTATCAGAGAAACTCAGGAGAGTTTTCTCCAAGCATGACATCCCAGTGTATTTCAGACCCAGCAACACACTCAGACAGAAACTGGTTCACCCGAAAGATAAAACGCCCAAACACAGACTTAACAATGCGGTGTATGCTGTACAGTGCAGCGAGGAATGCCCAGACCTCTACATTGGAGAGACCAAACAGCCACTTCACAAGCGCATGGCACAACATAGAAGAGCCACCTCCACAGGACAAGACTCAGCAGTCCATCTGCATCTTAAGGATAAAGGTCACTCTTTCGAGGATGCCAATGTTCACACTTTGGACAGAGAGGACAGATGGTTTGAAAGAGGAGTGAAAGAAGCCATCTATGTCCACTGTGAGCGACCATCTTTGAACAGAGGCGGGGCTTACGACACCAACTGTCTGCCATCTATAATCCAGTTTTGAGTTCCCTTCCCAGACGCCTTAACGCCCACTCACATCCTGGGCCATCTGACCTCAGGAATTCGCATGATAAGGTGGGGCCAGGTTTCACAATGAACTCACCCGAAACTCTGGCTGATTGTGACCCACACCCAGTTTCACACCTTGGCTCAGGCGATTAGAGGATCATCAGGGGGTCCTTTTGTCCCTCTGTGGGGGGTCACTCCCACTAGGTTTATATCTGGGACTCTCCACCATTTGACCTTAGAACTGAAGAAGCTTCTCGGATGAGAGGTGAAACATCTTCAAGCAACTTAAAGAAGTCCAGACGCTTTTCTTTGCAAGCTCCTTTGACTACGATGACCTGGATGACTGAGAACCTTCACAGACAACTCAATACAGTGATTTACAGATTTCATAAACACATTTTATTTTCCATTATAAGGCATATATGTATATGCACCTCTGGCAGTTGTGCCAGAGGTGGACAAAAAATATATATATATAATATATATATATATATAGGACTTGTATAGGATCAGCGACCCCCCCCCCCCCCCCCCCCCCCACTGCCATCAGGTCCCCTTCCATCCTTTGTTCTTTCTTTTAATCTTCCACTTATAACACATAGGATCCTACACTAACTTCTTGCAAACCGCTCTTCCATCCATCACTAATTTGGGTCCCTTTGTCAGTTTTATGGCCAAAGTGAGTCAGAAAGTCTGCAAACCAGCAGTTAACACTTGATCAGTTCGACAGGTGTGGGTGTGCATGCCAGACGTGAGCTGCTATCTATGCTGAGTAAGGGTTTTTCTCACCTCACCTGTGTCTGCTCCGGGGTCCACCTCATTCTCTCCACCCCGTCTGTCCCGCGGACTGTAACAGTTACTTATTGATCCTAATCATTACATTTTCATACAGTATTGAGAAGCATGTGTTATACAAAAAGTGGTACAATATCTTTCATTAATATATAATGATAGATATATTTGACCTATATGCATCATGTGATTTAAACATGCAGGTTAAATGCTTAACACAGTGACTCCACTATATAAACACTCCACTGTAAGTGTGGACAGTATATATGGATATACAGTCAAGCCTATAATTATTTATACCCCTGGCAAATTTTTATTTAAAGTTAATTTTCTTCAACCAGCAAGTTTTTTTGTTCTGTTTTTTTTGTTTTGTTTTGTGTTGTTTTGACAGGAAATGAAACAGGAGTCTCCCAAAAGATAATATCACACAAACCACTTTGCAACCCACCTCCAGTAAAGTCACATGTGTTGTTATTAATACATCGTCCTTCTGTGCTGGGCTCTTGCTTCTGTTTCCCCCGAGTGTGAAATGATGGGGAGATCTGCAAACAGACACATACAGCGAAATTAAAATAAGTTCAGATGGAAAAATCAGTCTTGTGTGTCTTAAAAAGTGTTTTAATTACTGATTATTTATTTGATTATTGATATATTGAGATGTATCATGTTAAGACGCTGATGAGCGCATCACTAAACTCTTCTTATTCCTTGTTGTTTGGCAGCTCGTGGACTCAGGATTGTGCTGTTTGGGAAAAACGAGGAAGAAAAGACGACACTTGGAAACTTCATCACAAAGAAAAATTCTTTTCAGTTCAGAAATATTTCTCCAGCTAAACACTGTGAAGATGCTGGTGGAGCGTGGAAAGAAAAACCACTAACAGTGGTGAAAACCCCCGACATGTTCAGTCTGTCTGTGCAGGGAGTGAGAGAGGAGATGAAGAGCTGTGTGAGTCTCTGTCCTCCTGGACCAAACGTTCTGCTGCTGTTGGTCAAACCTTCTGATTTCACTGAGGAGAACAGAAAAACTCTGAAGTTCATCCTGAGTTTGTTTGGAGAAGATTCCTTTAAACACTCGATGCTCATCAGCACGTACAGACATCAGTGGAAAGAAACAAGCGCCTCTGTGAACAAGCTCCTTCAGGACTGTGATGGAAGACACTACAACATGTTTACCAATGAGCACAAAGTGTTAATGGAGAAGATTGAAGACATGCTGCAAGAAAACAAAGAAAGCTTCCTCATCCTCACTGCAGAGAAGACAAAGCAAGAAAAACAAGAGGACTGGGAGAGGAAAGAAAAAGAGTGGCAGGAAAATCAGTCCAGGGAAATTGAAAGAATACGTCAGGAGGAGGAAGAAAAGCAGAAAAAGCTCCAAGAAGAGTTTAAGCAGGAAAGAGAAAAAAATGAAATAACAAGAAAAGAAAATCAAATCAATTCAAAACTGGTGCAACAGCATGAAGAAGAAATGCAGCAGAAAGAGGAAGCACACAGAAAAGAGTTTAACCTGTTACAGAAAAGCTGGAACCAGAAAGAAAAGGAACTAAAAGAAGACCTGATGAGAACACAAACACAACTGCAACAAGAAATTAATAAAAATAAAAAACAGAAAGATGAAATAAAGAACGAAAAACCTGAAGAAGAAAGAAAAGAACTCAATAAAACCGTCCGACTTGTGCCCGACCGAAAAACAGACAGTGAGTTTGTCTTCAGTTCAGTCAAGGTTGTACTCTCCCTGAGCTGACATAATCTGGTTTGAGGAAAATTAGTAAAAATGTTCAAAAACCTGTTTGGGGAGACGAGCAGAATCATTTCAATCAATCATCACCGTACACTGAGACAGAAATTATTTTTTTTACTACAAAAATTAGTGACTAACATAAACATCACATAAATGTTTTAACACATGCACTCATTTTATTTTTTCCCCAGTGTCTGAGCTGAGGGTCGTTCTGCTGGGGAACAGCTGGTCTAAGAGGAGCTCAGTGGGCAACTTCATACTGGGAGTGACTGTGTTCAGCTCTGAGGATAAAGCAGACCTCTGTCTGAGAGTCAAAAGGGAGCTGAAGGGGAAAGAAATCGATCTCATCAACACTCCAGATCTGCTGTCGGCTAAAATCTCCCCAGAAGATCTGACGAAACAAGTTGAGGACTGTGTGAGACTCTCTACTCCTGGACCTCATGTGTTTCTGCTGGTCCTCCAGCCTGCAGACTTCACTGAGGATCACAGACAGAGGCTACAAAGAGTCCTTGAACTCTTCGGTGATCCATCATTTGATCGTTCACTGGTTCTGATAATGCCCAAAGACAAGAGTTCACCTTCCATAGAAATGAATCTGCAGCATCCACAGTTAGGAGACATAATCAAGAAATGTAGAGAAAAATTGTTGTGGCAGAAGAACCTGGAACAAGAGCAGCTGTTAGCAGCCATAGATACAGTGGTGAAGAAGAGCATGAGGGAGGAAGTTTCCAGTGAGGAAACATCGGTTTCACTGCCAGTTCCTCGTGTCAAACGTTGTGGTAAGTACAGCTTTTTTTAGCTGGTATTTTTAAAACCTTTACATAAGTTTGACATTCTTGTTTGAAAGTCTTGAGTTTTGATTTCTTCTTCATACGAGTCACCTGGATCACACTTAGTCTGGCCCCTCAGCCTGAACCAGATTAAGGCTGTGACTGCCAGCTTCTCTCTAACCTAAACATGAGTAAATAAAAAGTCAGCTGATCTGAATAATCATTGAGACTGAACATGAGGAACATGCAGGTTTGTGGAATTCAAGGATTCAAAGCTCAAATGCAAAACTGAGGGGCCCGGTCATTAACAGTTCACACTGTGTAATGAATGTGGTAAAAAATGATGTATGTATGAAGGTTATTAACCAGTTTAAGTTTTTAATATATTGCAGCATGTGAACTCAGGATAATGCTGTTTGGAAAAAGTGAAAGAATGAAATCAGCCCTGGAAAAGCTCCTCGTTGGGAAAAAAGAGTCTGAAGGTTTTGAAGGAAAGCAATCTGGTGCTGCCTCTGGAGAGAGGAACAGGAAACCTCCCACAGTTGTAAAAGCTCCCAACATCTTCAGTCTGCCTGTGGAAGTGCTGTTTAAAGAGATGAAGAGCTGTGTGAGTCTCTGTCCTCCTGGACCAAACGTTCTGCTGCTGTTAGTCAAACCTTCTGATTTCACTGAGGAGAACAGAAAAACTCTGAATTTGGTCCTGAGCTTGTTTGGTCAAGATGCTTTTAATCACTCCATCGTCATCCGAACGCATAACGAGGAAGGGAATAACTCAGTGGACAAACTCATTGAAGAATCCAAACAAAGGCAGCACTTCGTTAACTTTGACAGAAAAGACTCCTTCTCAGATTCCTCAGAGTTGATGGCAGAAATGAATGAGATGGTGAGTAAAAACTGGGGAAAATATCTAACGTTAAAAGAAGAGGCTAAACCCAATCTGAAGTCCAGTCTGAACCTGGTTCTGTGTGGGAGGAGAGCAGCAGAGAAGACGTCAGCAGCCAAGGCCATTTTAGGTCAGACTGAGCTTCATTCAGCCTCCAACTCATCAGAGTGTGTTAAACATCAGGGAGAGGTGTGTGGACGTTGGGTTTCCCTGGTGGAGCTGCCTGCCTTGTATGGAAAACCTCAGGAGGCAGTGATGGAGGAATCATTCAAGTGTATCTCCCTCTGTGATCCTGAGGGTGTCCATGCCTTCATCCTGGTCCTGCCTGTGGCTCCCCTCACTGATGAAGACAAGGGAGAGTTAGAGACCATCCAGGACACATTCAGCTCTCGAGTCAATGACTTCACCATGATTCTGTTCACTGTGGACTCAGATCCTACACATCCAGCTGCTGAAAATATATTAAGTATAGACAAAGACATCCAGAAGCTTCTTCAGACGTTCGGACAAAGACATGTGGTTCTCAACATTAAGAACAAACAGCAGATTACAAAGATGTTTGAGGTTGTGGACAAAATTAGTGATGCCACAAACAAACCACACTGTTATACAAAGACAACATTTCTACATGCACAGATGGACAAAGTCTTACAACAAGATAAATCCATACAGATGCAACATGATGAACTTGAGAAGCTGAAGACGAACCTGATGACTTGTAAGTACTTTAGAATTTTAATATTTTTCTGTGTTCAGTGACCCAAAGAGTTTTAATCCAGCAGTATACAAGTTTTAACTCTGATTGTTTTCATGTTTTAGGTGATGAAGTTGAAGGAAAAGACTCAGATTGTCTCAGGATTGTGCTGATTGGAAAGACCGGCTGTGGAAAGAGCTCTACAGGAAACACCATTTTAGGAAGAGATGAGTTTAAAGTTGAATACAGTCAAATGTCGGTCACAACATATTGTAAGAAGGCACAGGGTGAGGTGGACGGTCGTCCTGTTGTTGTGGTCGACACTCCTGGTCTGTTTGACACCGCTCTGTCAAATGAAGAAGTTCAAGAAGAGCTGGTGAAATGTATCAGCCAGCTGGCTCCAGGACCACATGTCTTCTTGGTGGTGATACAGGTCGGTAGATTCACAGCAGAGGAGAGAGAAACGATCAGGCTCACTAAAAGATTCTTTGGGAAGAATTCAGAAAAGTTCACCATCGTTCTTTTCACCAGAGGAGACCATCTGGAGCGTCAGGGAGAGTCTATTGATGATTATATCAAGAACAAATGTCACAGTTCCTTTAAGAAGCTGATCTCTGACTGTGGAGGAAGATACCATGTGTTCAATAACTCTGACAAGCAAAACTGCACACAAGTCAGTGAGCTGATAGCAAAGATTGACACCATGGTGAAGAACAATGGAGGAAGCTTCTACACCAATGAGATGCTGCAAGAGGCTGAAGCTGCGATAAGGAAGGAGATGCAGAAGAATTTAAAGGAGAAGGAAGAAGAGATGCAGAAGGAAAAGGAAGAGATTGAAAGAAAACATAAGCAAGAAATGAAAGCAATGAAAATAAGAATGGCAGAAGAGAAAGAAAAATCAGAAAAGGAGGGAAAACAGAAAGCTGAAGAACTCGAGGAAATGATGAACAAAATTAAGGAAGAACTAGAGAAGAAAAAAAAAGAAGAAATGAGAGAAAAGGAGGAAAAGGACACTAGAGAGGAAAGATATCGACAACAATTAACAATTCAAGAAGTACTTGAAAAGTTGGACAGACAAATTCAGTTGGAAAAAGAAGCAAAGGAAAATGTTGACAGACATCTGGAAGAGACCAGAGAAGAGATGCAACGAAAACAAGAAGCCTGGGAGAAAGAACGAAGAGAAGAGCGAGAGAAACAAAGACAAGAAGATGAAAAGAGACGACAGGAGGAGGAAGAAAGAATAGACAAACTGCTGGAAAGTTACAAACAAGAAAAAATAAAATATGAAAACAAATTACAAGAGGAACAAATAAGAAGAGAAATGGAAATAATAGAGAACAATCATCAGAAAACACTGGAGGACCTAAAGAAGAGCTATGAAAGAAAAGCCAGACAGAAAGCAGAAGAGTTCAACGAATCCCAAAAGAAACACATGGATGAATTAAATGCTCAGCGGGAAGAACACGTGAAGGAAATGAACGACTTAGTCAAACGTGTGACCAAGAAGAGCGAAAACCTGAGAAAGCTCAAGAATCTAGTGGAAAAACATGAAAAACAAATGAGGAACGCAAAAACTGAGGAGGACAAGGACGAACTACAGGAAGAACATGAACAACAATTAAGTGAATTGATGCAAAAAATCTTAAGTAAGGAGGTCAGTGACGCGTCAGCTGCAGCATTTTATGACGAGAAATGAATGATTTCAGTTGTTTTTCTTTCATTTGTACTGGGAAAAAACGTTAAAGAAGCACCGATGTGTTCTGCACGTTTTACATGTTTGGGATTTCCTCGCAACAGCAAATAATTCTGATGCGTCTAACCTGCCTTAAATGTTTTATCATAAAGAAAGACGACACACATTTGGTGATCAGGTACCTTTATTCTTGTCTGTTTTTTGAAGTTATGGCTCAAAGAGTTTTGGGCTGAGCTCTTTAAGTACCAGGATGTTCATTTAAGTTGTGTTAGTTTTGCTCTGTACTGCACTGTAAGTTGAATCAGTCATTCTAGTCTTTTCTGATTTGTTGTTTTCTGTAATGATTGGTAAAAATCTGGATATGTGTGATTTGATTTCTTGTATTTTCTTGAGAGTAACTGTTTTCATGGTGTTTATAATTTTTGGTTGTGTTTTGTACATTTTATGTAACCAAGTTTTATTATAAAATCACTGATTTTTTTTTTTTAAATAGACAGATATATGACTGTTTAGTTCAAGGGTCGGCAACCCTGGGCACGCGTGCCAGCTGTGGCACACGTAGGGTTAACTGATGGCACGACCATAGCTGGATTGGCCATCGGTGGGCCGATGATTTTATTTTATTTTTTTCTTGTGACGGCATAAACAATGAGAGGTGGTGGATTGGCCAGATGAAGGGAGATGTGTAAAAATAACTCAGTTGTTTGGTGGTGGCTGTGGCGGAGCTTCCACAGAGGCCAGCAGGTGGATGAGGGAAGGTGAGGCAGGAGGAGAGCCCCGAGGCAGCCGCCAGTCCGAGTGTCAGGTGAAATGAACTTCAGGTAAGAAGTTATGACCTGCAGTCTATCTGGGTCAGATATAAACCAAGTTTAGGTGGAGTTTATTTTCGTTGTGCTGACTTTTTACAGTCAGTTACAATAACTCGTACTGCGTGCTAGCTAGCAGGACGGAGTTTCTATACAGCTGGGTGGTGCTATGTTACTGATGTTGAACTTTATTTAATTCATAAGGTTAATAGTAGAGTTGCCAACCGTCCCGTAAAAAGATGGAATCGTCTCGTATTCAGAGAAAATATTACGCGTTTCGTGTTGAGGTGAAAAGGAACACAGTTTGTCCTGGACTTCAGCTACATTGAAAAAGACACAAAGCTGGAGTTATTCTGTGTTTACGCTGCACAGCTGCCTCTTCTTCTCTTATTCTCTCCCCTCTCTCTCCTGTTGCTACTTCAATCATTCTCTCTTGTTTATTTATCGCCCACTTTGCGCCAGAAAGAGGAAACCAGCAGATGTCGCGCTAAACAACAGCAGCACGTTTAAGCTTGATCAGCTGTTGTTAGAATTTATTTAATATTAATTTCTAGTATCAGCTGATGTTTGCTGGAGCCACAGCTGCAAAAAAGCTGCTCATGATGTCGGTTTGGATATGTGGTGAGAGGGAAACATGAAGATGAAACCAGGAGATGTCCTTACTGAATCATCAGAGCTGTGATGGAGAAACAGGTTTACCTTTTAGGTGACATGGATGAGTGGAAGTTATGAACTGTTTCTGAGAGACAAATAACACCAGGATCCTTTTCTAAGTAGCTGACAGCTGGTAACTGTGCAGGGGCGGGTCTAGCAAAGTGTTGCCAGGGGGGCAGGTAGGGCATTAACAGGGAGAGGGGGGCACAAAGAAATACTTTTCTTTCTGTCAATAGGAAAATTGTACTTAGTAGTCAGTATAATCTTTTAATGATATAAGTTTGCATATGGTAGAATACTGCATGTAATCATTTGTGTTTAGAAGTATATAGTTGGTGGCATATTGAAAGAATGTCTCATCCTAGGAGGTCTGTGACATTCCAGGGTGTTCTGGCTTCACCCCACATCCTAGGAGCATGGGAGAGGGCGTAGCTTGTCTTATTGTTTTACGGTAGGATTAACGTAGCTATATCTGTCTTAGTCTAAGTGCTTTTTGTTTAGATGAACTGCTGGACTTCGAGACCAGCAGGTTTCGGGAAGTCATTTATGGGGACACACACACACGCACACCTCCTGTATGGAACAAACGCTCACTGAAGCATTTAAATAAAGACCAGGGCAGTCCTCAGGGCGAGTCTCAGTTCTGGAGGCTGCCCTTGCTAGCAAGAAGTTCTGTGTGTTTCTCTTCTCTGAGTCTTTACTGAAGAAGTGTTTTAGAGTATATCTCTTAACATTTTCTTATTGTCATTTAAAATGTCTCACTTTTATTAAATAATTATCTGAATCTTACACCTAAAGTTTTAATCTGATGTAAAATGTATAGAAATCACACATATACCAACAAGACAGTACATCACTGTCACAGCAGCGTTTGTTTTCATTCAAAGGCTTTATGGCTTTAGTACCTGGGGGGCCGGTCTGTAGTGAAAATGCCCCGGCTGAATTCTTTTGTCCCAGTCCAGCTCTGGGCACGACACGCAGTGTATTAATCTGAGAAGGTGCATTAAAAACACATCGCAAATCAGCTCACATAGACACATTAGTTGTGCCGCTTCTTGATGATGGTATCTTAGCTAACAACCCAACTACCAGATTCAACTTGTAATTGGCTAAAAATAACGTAGCCTACTGGTCAGAGGGACGTTGTTAGCTTTCCACATTCTGACACTTCAAAAGCTTCAGGAGCTGTTCGCTCAGCATCAGCACCACGGAAACACACGGATACATCCGTAGACTCGAGACAGAATTCACAATGTGTTTTTGGGACTTTCAGGTGTTTGGACCAATCTTTTATTTTCTGATCAAACCAGAAATCTTTAATGAGCAGCTGGATTTGTCTCGCATGGTCGAGTTAATGCAACATCGAAGCAGCTGGAATCCACAGCTGTGTGTGTTCATGGAGCTGCATGTTCACCTGCTGGACATCACTACCTGACACGTTTAACTGTCTTCAGAACATTGCAGAGGCCTTACTGACAGTATTTGGCTCTAATATCTGTGTGAGCAGATTTTCTCTCACATGAGTCCTCAGGCAGCCTCTGAATGCTGGACACTGGGAGACCTGTGTCTCTGAGTGAGAGCCCAGAGATCACATGTGTGTCACTGTATTATCAAACATGCCATATTGGCCCAGTTTATTTCTCTTATCATTGTTGTGAGGAGACCATAAATAACATTTGTATTTTCTCTTATACAGTTCATTTGCTGTCATGGATAAAAAGTGTCTTTTGTTTCCAAATAGCTGATAACTATTCACTGACAGCTGCCAACATCTGTGAACAAATGATTCTATAAAGTTGTTCTATATAGTGTGTAACTGTTCATATAGAGCGTTATTAAATTTATTGCTATGCAATCATATGGCACACTGACTTCAATTCAATTTTATTTATATAGTGCTAAATCACAACATAAGTCGCCTCAAGGCGCTTCATGCTTCTGAGGAAATTTTAGATGCACTCGTCATCAGAGAGGTTGCCGACCCCTGCTCTAGTTTTTAGGAAATGTCCATTTTCACATGTCTGACAAAGAAAAAGCTCCAGCACCATGAAGCAGCAGTAGGGTCATTTTGGGCAGGGACAGTAGCACGCCTTATTGAATGTCCCTCCACCTGCTGCCAGGTTGCAGACGTTAGGATGTCATCAGTGGAAGCCCGGGGAACATGACTACCACTGCATCTGTAATCACACCAGCAGAAAACAAGCTTATCAATCTCCACTGTTTACAGTATAAGTTGTGGCAAGTAGTCTTTTTTCCCTAAAGTCTTAGCATGACTTCTTTTGTTAATATAGTTGTTTTTGATCACAGCATTGCTTTCTGGCTTCAGTTAGTTTTAAATATGTGTTAAACAGGAGTAATGTCTTTGCTGCATCTGGCTGAGAGACTTCTTCTGTGTTCACCCTCTTTCAGTATTCTCATAAAAATGAGGACAAAGAGGGAATTTAACTTTTCATTAAGCTCCCCTCCAAGGTATGGAGGCCTATCACGGGCCGGGATGGTCCATTTGATAAAGTAAATCTGTTGGGCATCTTTCGTCGCCTTTAGACAATAATTCTGATGGCAAAACCCCCCCAAAAAAACCTTTTCATTAAGCTACCAAGCGCAACACGGAGGTCGCTGTAGGCTGCTCTTGCTCTGACAAAACGCAACTGCATGTTGTTTGTATTTGCGTGTCTTCTTCTTCATCATCATCATCATCACCACCACCTTTATTTATAAAGCACTTTGGAACTGTAAAATAAAATTACATGAGATAAATAAAAACCAAATAAAAGAAGAGTGTCATTTAATCATTAATTGAACAACTACTTCAATTAAAAGAGAAACTAAGTCTCACTGAGGTTAAAAGCCAAGGAATAAAAGTGGGTTTTAAGACGTGATTTAAAAGTGGACAGTGAAGGCGCCTCTCTAACGTGCATGGGCAAATTATTCCATAATTTAGGAGCCACGATAGAGAAGGCCCCGCCCCCTCTGAGCAGGAGCAGCTGGTCAGCTGACCTGAGAGACCGACAGGGTGTGTGGGGATGAAGAAGCTCAGAGAGGTAGGACGGGGCAAGACTGAAGGCATTTAAAAACAAACATGAGAATTTTAATATGAACTTTAAAAGACACAGGCAGCCAGTGCAGAGAGGCCAGCACGGGGGTTATATGCTCTCTTTTTCAAGTTCCTGTTAGGAGTCGTGCAGCCGCATTTTGAACCAGCTGCAGACGTGACTGACTGACCCCCACATAAAGTGCGTTACAGTCGTCCAGGCGGGAAGAAATAAAAGCATGGATCACTGTTTCAAGGTGCTGCCTCGAAAGAAAAGATTTTACTCGTGCCAGTCGCCTGAAATGATAAAAACTGGACTTCACCACTGCTCTGATTTGGTTGTCCAATTTAAAATCACTGTCCAACTCAAAACCAAGGTCAGTAACAACAGGTTTAAAGTAGACTTCCAGGGATCCTAAAACAACAGAGGACTCAGAGGGTGATCTTCATCACAGGTGATCAGGCTTGGGTCAAATATTTAGAGAGAAAAATGGATCTGAAGCATCTGAGATGTTGGTCCAGCCATGACAGTAATGTCGGTGCCTGAACTCATCAAACCATCTTTAAACCTGGTTCTGTGTGGGAGGAGAGGAGCAGGGAAGATGTCAGCAGCCAAGGCCATTTTAGGTCAGACTGAGCTTCATTCAGCCTCCAACTCATCAGAGTGTGTTAAACATCAGGGAGAGGTGTGTGGACGTTGGCTTTCAGGTCATCAGGGCCTTGTTGCGCTGCATTGAACCAAACTGCAGATAACTGCAAACAGAAATGTATGAAGGTAAGTGACCTCTTAAATTAAAGTGCAAATGAATCCTAAGATGATGGTTACCACAGCAACAGTAACAGAAAGAGCAGCTCAACAGCAGGCAGGTGCAGGTGAAAGCTAACTAACAGTGTGAAGCAGCAGCTGCAGGATCTGCTGCATGGTTTCATCATCTGTGATAAGAAATCAAATCTCTTATGAGTGTGAGCAGGTCGTTTCCTCACAGATTCAGAGCTTGTCAGCAGGGCAGATAAAACAGCACCGAGCCTCTACAGGGGGCATCCGGATTTGAACCGGAGACCTCAAATGCTCTACCACTGAGCTATGCCCCCCCCT